TTGGCTATTTATTTATACAATCCTCTTTCAGGTAATGTTATCTCAGAGTTTCTTTGTTTGTTTTTCTTTGGCTATTTATTTATAAAATCCTCTTTCATGTAATGTTATCTCAGGTTTTCTTTGTTTGTTTTTCTTTGGCTATTTATTTATAAAATCCTCTTTCAGGTAATGTTATCTCAGGTTTTCTTTGTTTGTTTTTCTTTGGCTATTTATTTATAGAATCCTCTTTCAGGTAATGTTATCTCAGATTTTGTTTGTTTGTTTTTCTTTGGCTATTTATTTATACAATCCTCTTTCAGGTAATGTTATATCAGGTTTTCTTTGTTTGTTTTTCTTTGGCTATTTATTTATAAAATCCTTTTTCAGATAATGTTATATCAGGTTTTTCTTTGTTTGTTTTTTTTTTTTTGGCTATTTATTTATAAAATCCTCTTTCAGGTAATGTTATCTCAGGTTTTCTTTGTTTGTTTTTCTTTGGCTATTTATTTATAAAATCCTCTTTCAGGTAATGTTATCTCAGGTTTTCTTTGTTTGTTTTTCTTTGGCTATTTATTTATAAAATCCTCTTTCAGGTAATGTTATCTCAGGTTTTCTTTGTTTGTTTTTCTTTGGCTTTTTATTTATAGAATCCTCTTTCAGGTAATGTTATCTCAGATTTTCTTTGTTTGTTTTTCTTTGGCTATTTATTTATAAAATCCTCTTTCAGGTAATGTTATATCAGATTTTCTTTGTTTGTTTTTCTTTGGCTATTTATTTATAAAATCCTCTTTCAGGTAATGTTATCTCAGGTTTTCTTTGTTTGTTTTTCTTTGGCTATTTATCTATACAATCCTCTTTCAGGTAATGTTATCTCAGATTTTCTTTGTTTGTTTTTCTTTGGCTATTTATTTATACAATCCTCTTTCAGGTAATGTTATCTCAGGTTTTCTTTGTTTGTTTTTCTTTGGCTATTTATTTATAAAATCCTCTTTCAGATAATGTTATATCAGATTTTCTTTGTTTGTTTTTCTTTGGCTCTTTATTTATAAAATCCTCTTTCAGGTAATGTTATCTCAGGTTTCTTTGTTTGTTTTTCTTTGGCTATTTATTTATAAAATCCTCTTTCAGATAATGTTATATCAAGTTTTCTTTGTTTGTTTTTCTTTGGCTATTTATTTATAAAATCCTCTTTCAGGTAATGTTATCTCAGGTTTTCTTTGTTTGTTTTTCTTTGGCTATTTATTTATAAAATCCTCTTTCATGTAATGTTATCTCAGGTTTTCTTTGTTTGTTTTTCTTTGGCTATTTATTTATAGAATCCTCTTTCAGGTAATGTTATCTCAGATTTTGTTTGTTTGTTTTTCTTTGGCTATTTATTTATACAATCCTCTTTCAGGTAATGTTATCTCAGGTTTTCTTTGTTTGTTTTTCTTTGGCTATTTATTTATAAAATCCTTTTTCAGATAATGTTATATCAGGTTTTCTTTGTTTGTTTTTCTTTGGCTATTTATTTATACAATCCTCTTTCAGGTAATGTTATCTCAGGTTTTCTTTGTTTGTTTTTCTTTGGCTATTTATTTATAAAATCCTCTTTCAGGTAATGTTATCTCAGGTTTTCTTTGTTTGTTTTTCTTTGGCTATTTATTTATAAAATCCTCTTTCAGGTAATGTTATCTCAGGTTTTCTTTGTTTGTTTTTCTTTGGCTATTTATTTATAGAATCCTCTTTCAGGTAATGTTATCTCAGATTTTCTTTGTTTGTTTTTCTTTGGCTATTTATTTATAAAATCCTCTTTCAGGTAATGTTATATCAGATTTTCTTTGTTTGTTTTTCTTTGGCTATTTATTTATAAAATCCTCTTTCAGGTAATGTTATCTCAGGTTTTCTTTGTTTGTTTTTCTTTGGCTATTTATTTATAAAATCCTCTTTCAGGTAATGTTATCTCAGATTTTCTTTGTTTGTTTTTCTTTGGCTATTTATTGATAAAATCCTCTTTCAGATAATGTTATATCAGATTTTCTTTGTTTGTTTTTCTTTGGCTATTTATTTATAAAATCCTTTTTCAGATAATGTTATCTCAGGTATTAGACTAAGTAGTCTCACTAGACTGTGTGCATATAAGAGTGAGTGAGTGAGTGGGTTGGGTTTTACGCTGCTTTTAGCAATATTCAAGCAATATCAGAGCTGGGGACCCCAGAAATGGGCATCACACATTGTGCCCTTAGGGGAATCGAATCCGTGCCTTCGGCGTGACGAGCCAACGCTTTCCCACCAACGAGCCAACGAGCCAGGCTATCCCACCACCCGTGCATGTAAGAGCAAAATACTGCAGTAATAAGTATATTTACTGTGGTCATATGTCAGTTTTTTGTGTGTGTCAGGGATGTAATCTCGAATTATTTCGTGGTCTTCCAAGGCAGGGTTAAAAATATGAACAGTTTTCATCACAAGCCATGTTCTACTGACGTAGCGAGCGAGCCAAGAAAGTGGACTCAAACTGGCAGGCTCGAAAACTACACTTTGATATCGGAAGGTGGACACTCTTGCCTCAGCTGCATGGTTTTACAAAATCTCACCTAACTTTGGACAGAGGATGCCGCAGAGCCGACCTAAAAAAACAGCATCATTAAGGTATTTTATCCGTATCAGTTTATTAAACGGTGGCTTCTTTTGCAGAATATAGTGATCATTCCCTTGTGGCGTACGTGTATCTCTTGTAATGATGAACATTCACAAGTCGATAGAGGCACGGAATCAGTCGGTTAGTACTTGGAGCTTTTGATCCTGTTTAAATGACGTGTCGCTTTGTCTGCACGTACAACTATAACATTACCTGTTTCTTCACGCTACCCTCTCGTCACCGGAACTCGGTGTTTCCCAATATCTACTAGATGTTGATACCCATGTATTCTATACGATGTATTCTGTAAGCGAAATATACCTGTGTTGGACAGCAGCGTCTAGGAGCTATATACACTTCGCAGGGAGGTAATTATTTTATCTTATTTTCCTATGTTGATTTACCCAGTGACCACGTAAAGCCTGCATGCGCATGTTACATGTACTAGAACTGTAACGGATTCGGACAAGCAGTAGTAACGCACGCACGCACTCACTCATTAACGCGCATACACACCTCAGACGGTATCACACATTTTGTGTCTTGTTATTTATTCATAATACCCTCTTTCAGCTGATGTTATCTCAGCTACGCATGCGTCATTAACGCTGCACCTGCAGCCTGCAGCGTCTCCTGGCCACAGCAGCAATTATTTAATATAATAACTGTGGTATAAGTATGATGATGATGGTGTACATTCAGCTGAAGTCCCAGTGCATTTGCAGTATCAGCTGACGGAAACTGATTCAATTATGCACAATTTGATTGACATATGCAATTCTTGTTTCTGTCCATGGAATAAAGGGTTTTTTTTAAAACAATCACTGGAAGCCGCGATGACTGAGCGGGTTAGGCGGCTGCCTTAGTGACCTGACGATTAGGTGCCTGACTCTGATGGTGTGGGTTCGATTCCCGGATTGGACTTAACCCAACAAATGTACCAGAATCTGCACTGTGCTAAGAAAGTGTAATCCCAAGCATAACAAATGTTAGGCACTGGAAGGCAAAGTGTGTTGGTTGTAAATTGAATCAAGCATGTTACTATGTCTGTAAATAGTCTATGTAGGAACACAAACATTCATGTCTATGAAATCAAATTCCATACAGCGCGCGACTAATATGTAAGGGTGTGTCACTCAAATAACTTTTACATATACGTCATTTATAATACTTGTATTGTGTCATAAAGCACATAATTTGATATATCTAGTGTCCAGGGGCAACATGAAGAAATCATTTCATTAAATTTCAGTAATAAGGTATAGCTGGCGTCGTGTTGGCTGTACTTCCTGATAGAAATTGTACCGTCACTCAAATCAACAGATGTTAACAAGCACGAGTTACGGTAAGAAATTGATAGTCGTACTGAAAATGTCACAGCACTGAATCAGCCAACTCAAGAATAACTTGGCATTAGCAACTGATTTCCTGGAAGAATTTCCAACTTTGATGGAACCCATCTGAAATACAGTCCAGTTAGACAAGAAATCAAGTTTTCTATGCAGCTGAAATGTATTCCACATGGTAAGAGCGGTAAGCCTTGTGGACTGTAGTGTGTGGTGGTGGGAATGATATAGTTTATACATCTTACTATCTAGCAAATGCATTATGCATGGCCAACACATTGGGAAAGTGGAACTGGTGTTCAAGCGAATGTCACCGTCTTGGCAGTTTGGTGACAGAAACTTGTCAACAATGATAATGGCTTTAGAAATGTATCAGGATACATTTTGTATCCTTTATAGATAATTTGTAGTGAGACCTTTTCCTCATGAATGCAGGTTTTGTAGGTGATTCAGATATATTGGAAATTATGTAACTCATAATTATAGAATCACCACTTGTGCTTGAAGTACGTTTCAGTTTCTCTAAAAGACACAATTGGTTTAAGGGTGTGATTATGAATATCGGTAAGAACATACATTATGAATAATCTTCAAACGTTTGTCTTGCCTTGCACCATCCTCCATATATTGTGGTTCTACATCGCGAATCCTATTTATTGTACTTGGTAAAGGTCGTTGCATGCATCATGGATGTTTTCTAACTTACATTTGATGAAAAGTTTAGTATTCCTATTTGATATTAGATAACTTCAACTTTATCAAATAACAGACATTATACTTTTATGTTACTTTGGGCGATTCTCTATAATGTTTACAGTTAATGGAATTCCACCAAGATCAAAATAAAGATCAAAGGCAGTGTGTTATGTGGCAGCAGAATGGTATCGTGTGACCGGTGCTGATGTTAATGAGTTCTCTTCTCCTCGACAACTACCAAGCCATGACACATGGTTATTAGAAGAACAATCAGCTCTCAGACATATTAATGTTGTAATAAAGAATCACACTGAATACTTCAAGTGTAAATCATTGCGTTGGCAGACAAGCAGGCTCGGTGAAATATCAATGGCTTTTATTGCAAAGAAAACGTATTACGACCTTTAAGATAGGCTTCATTAAACCATCATGTGAGTCAAAATAGGACTATTGAGATCCTAATTTGTGGACATCAATCAATTTCAATATGAAGCATGAACGACAGCAAAGCGTCACACAAACAAGACGATGAATACGGCTCATTGACGTATCTCATTTAAAAAACGGTATAAGTCGTTTTAAATCTTCTCTAAATGTTTGGTTCATGAAGGCGTAAATTACAGGATTAACTACATTATATGTAAAATACATGTAGAATACGACAAGTCTGAAGGTCAGAAGTCCATGTGCCATCAGCCATGAGGGCAGAAACGCAATGATGAACACCAATGTAACAACAAACAACATGGCTGCCGTCTTAATGTTGGCATATACGTTAGTCTCGCGCAAAGTGCTTTGTCGTTTAACCGATCCCTTTGACGTAGCCTGGGTTTGGTTTTCTACTGGAATATCATTCTTTTCTGCTCTTGCATTGCCATTGAGAGATGTCATTTGTGTCTCCCCAGGAGCACCTTCAGCTCCAGCCACGCTGTGGTAGTGACTTCTCTTCTTACGCTTGGCCTTTTTGGCTCTTCTCATAAGAATTGACTTGTAGATGAGAGTATAGAGTACGGTCACTGCTATGAAGGAAATCATGTACACAGCAGTGTATACCATTTGATAACCGTTGGTGAACTCTTCGCTTACAATGAACTCGTTGATTCCACATGCTCCTGAGTAAACCACTCTAATTTCAGAGATTTCATAATGTGTAATGTTTTCATACCGTGCTGGCGTGTCCGCTACGACGTACGTACCGGGGTCTTTGACTGGCGCCTCCAGGGCCGAATAGTGGATCACTTCTGTCTCCGTCAGGTTCAACGTTATATTTGCATATGCGGTCATATTAATGTATTCATTCCCATACACCCCGAATGACAGGGACGTGAGTGTGCCGAAAGTTACCGACATCAGTGCAAGACACACAACAGTTATTTTAGCTCTTGCAATTGTAAATACGTGTAAGAAAGGATGGCAAATACAGAAATATCTGTCAAAGGCTATGGCTACCATTATACATGCAGAGAACGGTATGTTTGATGTTTGGAAAAACACGAAGAGTTTACAGAAGACGTCGTACACAACAACAGTTCGCAACATCTCAAACGCGATTGTGTAGGGGATTATAACCAGACACGTGAAGAAGTCACATCCCGCCAGGGCAAGTATGAATATCACTGATGTCGACTTGTCTCGCCGACGAAAGAAAATGTAAAATGCTATAGCATTTCCGAATACTCCCACTATACTGTAGGTGACCAGCATGACGGTGACCACGATGTGTGATGGTTGGGGGAATGCACTGTCATCCGTGCTGCTGGCGTTGTAACCAGACGTGTTGTCCACCGCGCCTGACATCGCTGGTTGTTAATAAGCTTCGGTCGAGGTTAAACGCCACCCCCTGAAATGAATTAGAAAAAATATTATTAGAAAAAGTTAAAAGGTTAGATTGACGCACAGTGCCTTTCAATTCATGGATGATTAAACTTTCTCAGATTGGAATGATATCAAATTGTACTTTATTTTCAACTTTCATTTTCTCACGCGAACTCATGACATACAGGTTCATCGACTGAATTCATCAGGACAGCAGAAGGAAATAATATAAGTCCTTTGTCCAGGAATCAGGACTGTAATATGTAAATTAACGTGTGTTCTATTCGATTTATTACCCATTTTGTAAGGAGGACATAGGGTAGTAATTTTCTTGTAACGTTGATTGGCTGTTTCCGAAAATAAGCTATTTCATTGGTAAAAAACAATATGCCGGAACTACTTCATTCATCTTTTAATTTCATTCATCTATTAAGTTCATTCACTGTTTTACACTCAAACTCTCTTGAACACGAGAATACGAAAAATAATTACTCGATAAACATTCAATTTTGTTTCTTTACAGATACATCACTATTTCATGGAAACATTTGGCAATAGAAGTTGTAGAAACACACAAAAAATACAATGTTGCAAAAGGTAATACAATATGTCTGCTGTTGTGTTGTCGATATAAAGAAACATGGCATCATCCCTATCTCCGATAAAAGTGAAGGTTGATGGCAGTAGAGTTGTACATATTGGTCAGCCATTGAACACGTTCAATGTATTTGTTGCGAGAACTGAACAAGGCCTAATGTTGTTTCTGTCTGGGTGAGTTCGCCATGCCATGCGACTGAATTAACTGCTCACACACATATTTGATAAAATACTTCTTTTACAGAAAACACATATGTATTACTACTTTACAAACTATAATGTTGAGTTAGTTGAGAAAAACACATTATTCAAAGGGACTATTTATTCTCGAGTAATGCACCTGTTTAAGGCAGCGGTATAATGCGATGAAATTCTTGGAAATGGGGATTCCCCACATCACGTGTTTTCCTGTTTTCATTTTAACGGTTTTTTAGATCAAAAACTGATATAACAATAACCAACTCGTGACGGAGAATGACAGATAGATTATCATTCCCCGTCACTCGTTAGATATTGTCTAAATACCTCACCACTACGCCATAAAACGCCTTGCTAACATTGAACAGATTTCCCTTTCCGGCCTTGTTTCATTTTCGAGTTGAGCACCTTTCCGCTGTTTTAGTTATTTTAGCGTTCAGAGATGGAAGAATATAGTTATAAACCTGCACTAGATTTGCAGCAACCATCACCGAAACAAAGGCGTCAACATTTCAGAATGCGGTTGCGACAAGACATTATACACATACGAAGGACGAACAGTGTGCCAGACATAGACATCAGAAAAGTATTGATACGGTTTTCTGACAAGTACAGAGATTTGAATGCGCACACTAGGACAATGTAAATGTATAGGCTTGTAAACATATAAACTGTTTATTTGTAAATGTATATTGGGAGTAATTAAAGATCAAGTACAGAGTCTCAAACATAACTATATAAAGGGGAAGTAACGATAAATGGATGACGCAATCTAACATGTAAATGAGGCTTCAGATTCCCACATTCACTTGACTATATAGATACACTTTAAATTAATATTGTTTAAGAAATACAAGCGTTATCTTCCAATGCCATGGCATTTGTAAAGCTTTGACACCAATCTGTTTCATGTGCATGCTGACTATCAAAGATGCAGGAAGCTCTTTCAGTGTGGAGCTATCGAGATAGTGGTATAAGTATTGACGAAAGGAGTACATGGTATTGATGAAATCCATATCTTACACTTTGAAAATAAGTTAATTGTTTGAATTATGTTATCATAAGGTTTAGTTTTTCTTAATTTCTTAAATAAATAGATAATATTATACAAAACGATACGACACAAACTACAAAATCGTAAACGGTTTGCGATTAACACGCACCTGGAGACATTGCCGTTATGTCGATTAAAGGGCATAAAAAATGCCATGACGTAGAAATTCCCCTTTTAGTGTGGATTAACACACGTTTATTAATAGGTATTGACTATGCCAGATTAGCAATTTCCCCCAAAAGAACTATGATATGTTGTTGCAATCGTCAGTTAAAAGTAAATGTAACTGGACCTCAGGAATAGGATCCCTTTTGTATGAATATGGTTTGGATATATTTGTGAAAGACAAAAAGTAGATTGTGCTAAAGTTTTTCTTTCAGAGTTTGTTTTCCGTTTGAAATGTTCACATGAACAAGAATGTCGTACATGTTTGGTTAATATTTTCTAAGTCTAACTGATATGTGCTCTACAGACAATTTTTTTAATAAGAATTTTATCTTTCAGTAATTACAGTCCATAAGTTTCGACTGGCACTTGCAAAATTTCGTTGTAGCTCACATTCTTTTGCCATTGAAGAAGGTAGATATATCAGTGTACCAAGATATGAAATAATTTGTACAGTATTGTGGCTATATTGAGACAGAATATCATTTCTTATTGATCTGTAAAGTTTTTGATAATCTACACCAACGATACATTGCCAAGAAATATTACGAATATCCTACTATGACAAAATTGAATATACACATGTCTTCTAACCAAACATCTGTTGTTAGAAATTTAGCCTGTTTTATTTACAATGCCTCGCAGCTTATGGTATTAGTAAGTGAACTACCTCATACCTCATGTACATCTCTGTAATACCTATATGTATATACTCGTGTGTAATGGACCAATCCATGTTGTACCAGGGTCCGTTGGCCCACATCTGTACTGAAATAAAGAACAATGAGAATAGGTTTTGACCATTTTCTCACAGTAATATAGTAAGTTTTACTCATGAAATAAAATTGCTATTAATGAATCCCTGAGGTTGGGGTATTGAGATGTACCACTCGGATAATATCAATTTCTTACGTAAATAATGTTTGAAACTACCGGAGTTTGCCAAAAGTTCATGAAAAGCGTTGAACATAATGTTCAAAGTGATATTGAAAATGGATAAATGTAGATAATGAAAATGATTTCATGAAAAATATGAAAAAGATAAATATACACCAAAATTGATCTTGTCTACTTTTATTCAACCAACGTTCACCTCCGGAAATTGCAAACCATTTTTAACAGCGGTGACATACCGGTGACCAACTTTCACAAAATGTATTCACTGACATCGGTACGAGGGATTTTGCGATTTCGCGATGTTTCCATACACATGGAAAAAAAAGCTCAAAACCTATGATTTTTAACTTCCATATAGTCATTTATATTCATGTCATATAATTGTTTGTATTAATATTTTGACCCTTCGGGTGCACCAAATACTGAGTTTAGACTGCACGTACTACGATTAAAGGCACCTTATAAATCGGTTTGCTACGTTTGCTCTCTTTTTAAAAAAAATTCAACACATTTCAAATCAAACGTTTAGCATCATCTGAATAAGCTTTCATGATGACAGCTAGAAGTAGTCAATGTGAATGATCCAAACGGTCTATCACTGTGCAGTGCACAGGTAACTATCATGAACTGCACGTGCATTGACCTTTATGACCCAACACTGCCGCTGTTACAGGTCATTGGCTCCCTCCCTCTGCAAGCAGTCTGCGTTCTGCTGTTTATTTTGTTGACAGTTACATAGACAGATTCTTTAATACAAATGCATAAAATCGGTGATTTACAATGTGATTAGGTTGTCATACAAAACATCCGATTGCACAGTTTGAGATCGATTGGGTCATTGGATGAAGAGATATTTACAAAAAAACGGGTCCACATGCACTTCATGCCAAATTATACAGTTGTTGATACTTTTGTGATTTCGGGACGACTGTATACCAGGATCTTTACGGAAATATACATATATTTTTTTTATTTATTTATTTATTTTTTTATTGTGATAGCAAGTGATACAATATTCATACAGCTGGATAATACACACAACACATATATTCCAGCTGCGGGATAAGTGGGAGACGACATGATTTATGGGTGTATGAATAAAGTACTTAAAGAAAGAGGTATAGGGATGTGGGAAAGTAAGAAAATAGAGGAGAGAAAGGATGGTATTATCAAGCATTGGTTTGCGTCCATCTATATTAGTATAGGGGCCCATTTTTCTGCAAATTTGGTCTGGCCTCCAGAAATGAATTTCTCTATGTTGTGATTATATTTTATTAGCGGTAATAATTGGGTAAAATGGGAATAGTCTTATTGTAATGACAATTTTGAATGTAACGCTTGGAATTCAAGTCTGTCGAAAAATGTATCCCTAAAATTTTAAAAGGTTCTTTTGACCATTGCAAAGGCAAATGGGGACAAAGCTTTTCATTTGAATTCTTTTTTGAACCAATCCCAATAGCATTGGTCTTGTCACAATTAATCTTTAAACCGGACGCGTTAGCAAAATCTTGTAATGTTCCAATAAGTTCCAAGAGTCCCTCCTGTGATTCTTCTAAGGTGAAATTTGCATCATCAGCATATTGGAAGGTAAGATATTCAACACCAGTAACATCTATACCTTTTATCCAAGTATTATTCTTAATAGATATAGATAATAATTCTGCACAAATGATGAAATAGATAGGGGGAGATAGGATCGCCTTGTCTACAGCCTCTTTCAAAATTAAAATAATGTGAAATGTGCCCTGTGCTTATTATTGCACTGTTACTATTATATTGAAACAATTTAATCCATTGTCTGAGAGAAGGTCCAAAATTGAATGCTTCCAGTGCTTTATCTATAAATTGCCACTCTACAGCGTCAAAGGCTTTTTCAAAATCTACTGTTATAAGAAGCCCTGGCTTTTTGTGTATTTCACAGTAATTCATGATATCATATAATATTCTAGTATTTTCCCCGATGAATCGGTCCTTAAGAAAGCCCGTTTGCGTTTCGCTAATGGTATTTGGTAGAACATTCTTGATTCTATTTGCTATTACTCTAGAAGCTATTTTATAGTCTACATTTAATAAAGTTATTGGGCACCAGTTTTTTAGGTAACGCCTGTCTCCGTTTTCTTTAGGAATGCAGGTTATTATACCCTGGTTTTGAAAATTTGACAAAGTTCCAATATAGAAAGCATGTGTTATAGATCTAAGGAGAGTAATTCCGATATATTTCCAGAGAAACTTGTAGAATTCTGCTGTAAAACCGTCTGATCCTAGACTCTTTCGATTTTTCATAGATTTTAACAGAGGCACATTCATTTAGTGTAATAGGACCCTCACAGCTGTTTCTCTCATTCTGATTTAATTTGACATCAATATTGGTAAACAGGCGTGCATAGTATTCCCAGTTGGTATCATGCGGGCTACTATATAAGTTTTGTAATATTTTGAAGTATCAACAGCTATATCACCAATGCTAGTTACACTCTTGTCATTAGTATCAATTATTTCTTTCATATGCTTATTGATATAATTTCTTTTTTCTAGATTCGGGAAATATTATGTGTTCTTTTCACCATCTTCATACCATTTTGCCTTACTTCTAAATATAATTCCTTTTATTTTTTCTGTTAGAATGGTTTCCAAAGTTTCCTTTTTTTTATTTAATTCATTTAAGGCATCATTTGAAAGGATGCCATAATTTGATTCTAGCTTATTAATCTCATTTTCAAGTGTTTTTTCTTCTTTGTCAATGGACTTTTTTTGTTTTATTGTATATGCTATTGTTTCACTTCTTATTCTCATTTTTAACATTTCAACTACAAACTGGTCATTCATTTTGAAAGCCATATTGGCAATATCATCAGTAGTTCCCATGCTTTGACTTCATTCAAAGTATTTTGTATAGTTTCCTTTACCAGATTTACGTAATCTTTATCATGCAGCAAGTTAGAATTGAATTTCCAATATCCAGGGCCTCTTTCAATTGGTTTAAGGTCTAAATCGAGCGTAATATATGAGTGATCAGATTTGTAACTTATTCCTACAGATACAGTTTTTACTAGAGAGAGAATATCCTCAGAAATTAAGAAGTAGTCAAGTCTACTCTGCTTTAAAGAAATGAGTTGACGCCATGTGTATTGCCTAGTGTCAGGATTAAGTATTGTCGAAGGTTCGACCAGCTCTAATTGCTCTTTGATATCAAGTATTTTGTCATGTGCCTTTTGGTTATTTTTGTGTTTATAATTATACGCATCATTGTAATAATCTTGCACCACGTTCCTGTCTCCACCCCAAACTATTGATCCTGAAAGTTTACTCAGTTCATTAGCAAGATCTTCGAAAACTTGTGGCGAATCGATACTTGGTCCATAAATATCTATAAGCGAAAAACTAATTTCTTCTATAGTAATGTCAAGAATTATGAAACGGCCATTATCATGTACAATTATTTCATGCATATGATACTCGAAGTTAATATTTATTAGGACCATAACTCCTGAGCTTTTACTTGTACCGTGTGAATAATGACATCTATAACCCCATTCTGCCGCCCCCATTAGTTCATCATCTACTGTGCTATGAGTTTCTTGAAGGAATATAATTGACGCATTGTTTATATACATCGGCATACATGATGATATGGTAAAAAAATATACCTGCTTGTGTGGCGGAAACCAATGTTTGACAAGGAGAGATGAAGAAGAGAACGAGTAGAATAGGGATAGAAACAAAAGAGAGTGGAAGAAATTTGAAATAGAGCGTAAAAAGAAATGAAAAATATAAAAGGTATGGTAATGCTTCCTTGAGCTACAGTGTCCATGTAATAAACAGAGGACAGAACAAATAAAGTCAGAGCTTTTCCTTTACAAAAATATAGACAGTCGTACAGCATCATCAGTACAATCATGTCTGAACATAAGAAGAAGGATAAGAGGAAATAAAAGATCTTGTTTGGAGAGACGATTAAAAGTAGTATTCACTATTCAAGACAAATGAGACAACTGCATTAATATGCATAAAAAACAACAACATACCGTATGGTGACTAAATACGCCTTGTATTTGTCAAAGGAAGAGATGAAACCATTATGAGCTAATAGAGCCTGTATTTGATGTAGATATTTCTCAATGTTTATTAAATGTCAACGACTGGTACACCACAGAGGATGGTCCACTGTCGGGTCAATCAGAAGACAATGAGACGTTCATAAAATCACATATGTTTGTCATCACATTGCTTCATTAGATAGCATAGAACGACTGATGCTTTGTCTAGTTTTTATTGATGATGGCATCGATGTCATCATTAAACTTCTTCCCGTTGCATGTTTCTGCGTAGACCCTGCCATTAAAATACCATGCATTCTCAATGTCATGGTGACTTTTTAGTCGGTTTATCAACATCACGTTTGCCTTAGTGACGTCATCTGCAAGGCAATCAAAAGATGTTTCTTTAATCTGTTTCCGTACCCTTATTACCTTTGACTTGGCTCCAGGGATAAAAACTTGACCAAAACTGAATTCACAATGGACTTGCTAGCATGATCAATCCTATGGATTGCTGAAATCTCGTCTGCGTTGATTCGTATGCCTGTTTTTGTCTTCATAAGTTCAGAAAACTTATCTATCAGGTCTTCATGTTCAGACTGTTCCATATTGAAGACTTTTATATTGCATTTTCTAGAAAACTGCTCATTTTGGTTCGACAGGCGGAATGCCTGGTTGACCTTGTCTGAGACACAATCAAGATTTAGGGAAAGCTCCTCAGTTTGCTTGCATTTATCATTCAAATCAGCTCTCAGTTTCTTGTTTTCAGTCTCTAGATTTGAGAAATCATTTTGTAGTTGCTCAAAACCTATCTCTTTCAAGACTTGGTCCTTAATCTCATGCTTCAG